TGACTCCTTCTTCTTTGTGGCAACCCCTGAGATATTGGAACACTGCTATCATGTCTCGCCTGGTCCTTCTTTTCATTAAAGACATTCCTACTTATTAGAGAATGAAAAGGTTGAGGAACAGACAAAGGGTAAAAATCGGGCCTGGGATATTTTAGAATGAGCGGGTCAAAAGGTTCACCGACAAATGCGTGCCTGACAAAAGCGTGCCGAGAAAAATGCGAGGTCGAAATCACGCCCACAGAAGCGCGCCGACAAATGCGCGCCGACGAAAGCGCACCATCAACAAACAACGCAAAAACAAAGTAATAACAACCTAACCCTAACCCTAAACCTAAACCTAACCCTAACCCTAACTCTTACCTTAATCCTAATCGCGCTTTTGTGGGCGCGGTTTTGTCGGCGCTCTTTTGTGGGAGCGCTTTCGACCTCGCGGTTTTCTCGCCACGGTTTCGTCGCCACGGTTTCGTCGGCACGCTTTTGTCGGGCGCGCATTTGACGGGTCACGTGGTCAAAATGGTCAGGATATGGTTGGGATAGGGTGAGTGAAACTCTACCCATTTGTATAGAGTGCAGAGAAGAGCTACAAAGATGATTAGGGGACTGAAACAAGAGTGTGAATGATTCTATTGGTTTGGACCTGTTTGGGCGAACCGGTGGCTCCGACTATCAGCTGGGAGCAAACCAGTTTGCTCTGACGATGAAGTGTGCCCGCCCACCCACTCCTGTATTTAACTCACCTATATCTTCTCAACTGAGTCCCGCGGCAGAGGGGGTCGCCACTCCTCAGCTGTTTTCCTCCCCAGCAGTAATGCGGAAGTTACTTTTTCTCAAAACTGTGCACACACGCTAGGCGCGCGCTCACCGAACCAGTTGTTAAAACTGGTAGGATCCCACCACTGGACTGGAAGCCAAAACATATGAACTATCGCAGAAATTGGGGATGTCTAGTTTAATGCAAAGTAGGACTCAGGGTGACATGATAGCAATCTTCCAATATCTCAGGGGATGCCACAAAGAAGAGAGAGTCAACCTATTCTCTAAAGCACCTGGACAAGAAGCAATGGGTGGAAATTAATCAAGGGGAGAAGCAACCTAGAACTGAGAAATTCCTTTAGAACAATTAACCAGTGGAACAACTTGCCTCCAGAAGTTGTGAGTGCTCCAACGCTGGAGGTTTTTAAGAAGAGATTGGACAGCTATTTGTCTGGAATGGTACAGGATTTCCTGCCTGAGCTGGGAGTTGGACTAGAAGACCTCCAAAGTCTCTTCTAATCNTACATCTGAAACAACTGAGTTTTACAACTTTCCAACTGGTTTCCTGTAACTGGGAGACTGAAGGTCCCAACTTCTCTGGAGGGATGTTTATGGTAGCTGTGTGGGGTATATTACTTTAATGTCTAACTAGAGATAGCCATGGGAACGTGTGCTTTATTGACTCCCAGGGCAGAAGAGTTAAGGAAGCATCTTCACACTTGTGTATTGGTCAGAATCTGCATTCGGACAAAGGGGAGGGGCCATTATCAGCTTAATCCCATTTGCATTGCCTAAAGGTTTTCAGATGTTGCTTTGCCTCTAATGGTTTCCATCCTGCCTGATTAAAGGTTCCTTTTGAAATAATCCATTTCAAGAGTCTTTACTTTCCCAAGTTAGGAGGGGAGCCATTACACACCCTCTCTTCAAGACTCCTTGCCTGCATTGGTGCAGTTTAGACTTCTCTACAAACAAAACAGGGTATCTGCTAGCTATGACAAAATGTTTTGATGGGGAGGATTTGAAAATAAGGAACAGGATCTTTTCCCAAATGTCTTCTTATTTAAAGTTGCCCCCAATTTCTATCACAAATCTTTCCAAAATGCATTAATAAATTGACAAAAAAAAAAGATTCCACTTTGTTTCAGTGCTTATTTGCAAATAGGCACACTCTCCAAGTTTGCTATATTTAAAGATAAGGAAGAACTACTGTACTTTCTGCCACATATCTGTTAATAATTGAAGGAGATCTGTTCTTGCCTAATATATCTGTTTTTGGATAGCAAAGTTCCAAAGGACAAGTTGCCACCACTTTGAATGATATATTTGCATTAAAAATCTTTGATGCCATAATCTGACACGAACTTCAGTCATGTTTACAAAAGAAGGCTCTTCTGGGTCATGACTTGGTGTGGTGTGATTATAACTTTCTCAAAATTACTGTAAAGTTAAGATGATCCTGTAGGTGGTAGTGATTTTACCACAACAAACTGGCATGGATCTTGCTTTGGAAAGCTGTAATATCAGGAAACCTGGCAAAATTTGGGGTTCAATAATAGCCTTTATGTGTTGGGGTTGCAACCTCCAGAATTCCCGGTCGGTGTGGAAGCATTAGGTTAGAGCAGAGGTGTCAAACTGTAGGCCAGAGACATCACACGCAGGGCACACCCACCCCAGATCCACAGAGGCAAAAACCGCCGTGGTACATCATGTGACATGATCGAGTTTGGCACCCATGGAATTAGAAAGATGTCCCAGAGTAAAATTAGAACTCAAGATTGAAGCAATGTACAGGGCGGGGCATAACCTTTTCCTAGGGGGTCACAGCAACACTTGTAATAACAACACAAATAATTCATACACCATTCGAAAGCCCANTCCTTTGCCCAGGAAGAGCCGAGCAGAACTTTCCCACGCAAAGTGGCAACGGGCGTCTGGGATGCTTTGGGGCTCTTCGGTTTTGCTTTATGAAGTCAACGGGCAACTTCCCCGCGCGACGCGCCCGCCCTGCCACGAATCCCACCGACGCCGCTGATGTCAAGCCGAGAGCATCCCAAACCGGGGCGGGCGGGCGGGGTTAAGGACGCGGACGTCACATCGGGCGTTTGGAGCTCCGCCCCCTCGCCATAATGTGGGGAGGTTTGAAAATCACCCCACTGGAAGCCCCGCCCCCTCCCCGCTTGCCTTGAGGAGGGGCGCCAAGGACTCGGGCAAAGGAGCCGCGTGTGCTGGGGAACGGGGAGCGCCTGGCACCTGTCCTGCGTCCGTGTGTCCGAGTCCTTTGGGCGAGCCAGGCGCAGCCGAAGCCCGAGCGGAGGAAGGAAGGAGCGAGCCATGAGCCCCGCTGGGTTGCAAACCGCTTGCGTTGCCTTGATGCTGTTGGGCATCCTCAGCCGAGTCTCCACGAACGGTAAGAGCCGAGTCCTGGGGCTTCCACTGGCTTTCCAAACGTCGGGAGGACGAGCGAAGGACGGAGACGCCAGGAGCCAGCGGGCGTGTCGCGGGCAGTGAAGGCAAAGCGTGGGGAGGGGAGGAGAATTGGGGTCGGGGGTCGGAAAAGCCAAACCTCTCCACGCCCAGCGCGAAACCGGCGCGCTCTGTCCCTCCTTCCCTTCCAACCTGGTGCCCGAGTCCCGACGGGGACTTCAAGCCCGCCTTTCCTGGAGAAAGCGCGCGTCCCTCGGCCACTGACTCCCTTCCGGGGCTCCTGGATAACTTGGTTGGGATTCCTTCCCGGCGCCTGGTAGGAAACGAAGGGCCGGATTCCCCCCTTTGGAGGGGACGCTTCTCTCTTTTCAGCGCACGGCGTTGAAGTTCGCCTTCCCCAGAAAGTGGCCCTCAGCCCGTTGCCCTTTGGATTTTGGCCTCGTTCTTCGGCCCCCCAGTCCCCCCACTGGCTGCCCGCGTCCTTTGGCTTCTCATTCAAGGCTGCCGGGCGCTCCTCTTCTCCCACTGGTTACTCCGCCCTCCCACTTGAACGGGAGAGCCGAGCGCCAGGCCCTCCTCCCTCCGCCGGCTTCTCTCGGGCCAGTAGTTAAGTGGCAGCCCCGCTGGGTCCCTTCGAGGCGTCGCCGCTCAACCTTCGCCGGAGAGGCAGCGGGGCGCTTCCTTGACCGGCAGATTGGAATTAGGAGTGGCTTCCCTTGGCTATCCGGTTAAACGATAAGGCTCCTCCTGAGTAACCTCGAAGGATCAGGGAAAGATCCACGGTGGATTGGTGAGCTGTTCCTTCAAAAGGCAAAGGGCGAGAGGGCATTTTAACTCACTCAAGAAGCACGTTGCTTGTCACCATACAGATCCCCTTAGGATCCTTGGCGCTTTCAGCCTTCAAGCCTAGGAGGGTTTTCAGAATCTCTGGCCATTGAGGGATTCGGGTGGAGCTCTTCCGCTGAGGCGTGGCAGGCCGGAATTCTTTCTCAGGAGATGACTGGCAACCGGAACGTGGGTAGGGCAGGCTGGGAGTAAGCTGCGCTGCTAAGTGGAGATCCTTTTCCAAAGAGCTGGTGGCAGGACAGGTGTGTCAGTTTCCTTCCCTGAGTTGCAAAAAACCTGGCAGTCCCAGTAGGGGAGAGAAGAAAGGTATAATTCCTGGCGTTTTACTTCCTTAGACGGTATACCTTCTGTGTATATTCCTGAAATGCAACTTTTGGAACCAGGGGTTCCGGTGTTTGAATCTGTGAGAAACTGTTCTCATAGGAGGTGGCGCAGTGGTTAGAGTGCAGCACTGCAGGCTACTTCAGCTGACTGCAGTTCGGCTGTTCTAATCTCACTGGCTCAGGGTTGACTCAGCCTTCCATCCTTCCGAGGTGGGTGAAATGAGGACCCGGATTGTTGTTGGGGGCAATATATGC